CACTTTCAGGTCTCCTCACACTGCTGGTGGGTTCCATTTTTTTGTCATAGGGTGCTGGCAGATTACGGGCCTCCCATTGCTGCTGCCAGGCCCGTAATCTGTCATGGGTCACTCCCCTGTACCAGATTAACCCCGCCTCCTCATCATGCTGCTGCCAGGTCCAGAGTCTCTCATGGGTCCCTGTACGGCCTCCCATTGCTGCTGTCTCCATCGCCACACTCTGCCATGTGCCACTTTCAGGTCTCCTCACACTGTGGTGGGTTCCATTTTTTGTCATAGGGTGCTGGCAGATTACGGGCCTCCCATTGCTGCTGCCAGCCCGTAATCTGCCATGGGCCCCTGTATGGGCCCCCGCCTCCTCCTCATGCTGCTGCCAGGTCCAGAGTCTGTCATGGGTCCCTGTACGGCCTCCCATTGCTGCTGTCTCCATCGCCACACTCTGCCATGTGCCACTTTCAGGTCTCCTCACACTGCTGGTGGGGTTCCATTTTGTCATAGTGTGCTGGCAGATTACGGGCCTCCCATTGCTGCTGCCAGGCCCGTAATCTGTAGCCATGGGCCCCTGTACCCCCCCGCCTTCTCATGCTGCTGCCAGGCCCGTAGTCTGTCATGGGTCCCTGTACGGCCTCCCATTGCTGCTGTCTCCATCGCCACACTCTGCCATGTGCCACTTTCAGGTCTCCTCACACTGCTGGGTGGGTTCCATTTTGTCATAGGGTGCTGGCAGATTACGGGCCTCCCATTGCTGCTGCCAGGCCCCGTAATCTGTCATGGGCCCCTGTACCGCCCCCTACCGCTACCGCCTCCTCATGCTGCTGCCAGGCCCGTCCAGAGTCTGTCATGGGTCCCTGTACGGCCTCCCATTGCTGCTGTCTCCATCGCCACACTCTGCCATGTGCCACTTTCAGGTCTCCTCACACTGCTGGTGGGTTCCATTTTGTCATAGGGTGCTGGCAGATTACGGCCTCCCATTGCTGCTGCCAGGCCCGTAATCTGCCATGGGCCCCTGTACCGCCCCTCATCATGCTGCTGCCAGGCCCAGTAATCTGTCATGGGTCCCTGTACGGCCTCCCATTGCTGCTGTCTCCATCGCCACACTCTGCCATGTGCCACTTTCAGGTCTCCTCACACTGCTGGTGGGTTCCATTTTGTCATAGGGTGCTGGCAGATTACGGGCCTCCCATTGCTGCTGCCAGGCCCGTAATCTGCCATGGGCCCCTGTACCGCCTCCTCATGCTGCTGCCAGGCCCGTAATCTGTCATGGGTCCCTGTACGGCCTCCCATTGCTGCTGTCTCCATCGCCACACTCTGCCATGTGCCACTTTCAGGTCTCCTCACACTGCTGGTGGGTTCCATTTTGTCATAGGGTGCTGGCAGATTACGGGCCTCCCATTGCTGCTGCCAGGCCCGTAATCTGCCATGGGCCCCTGTACCGCCTCCTCATGCTGCTGCCAGGCCCAGGTCCAGAGTCTGTCATGGGTCCCTGTACGGCCTCCCATTGCTGCTGTCTCCATCGCCACACTCTGCCATGTGCCACTTTCAGGTCTCCTCACACTGCTGGTGGGTTCCATTTTGTCATAGGGTGCTGGCAGATTACGGGCCTCCCATTGCTGCTGCCAGGCCCGTAATCTGCCATGGGCCCCTGTACCGCCTCCTCATGCTGCTGCCAGGCCCAAGTCTGTCATGGGTCCCTGTACGGCCTCCCATTGCTGCTGTCTCCATCGCCACACTCTGCCATGTGCCACTTTCAGGTCTCCTCACACTGCTGCTGGTGGGTTCCATTTTGTCATAGGGTGCTGGCAGATTACGGGCCTCCCATTGCTGCTGCCAGGCCCGTAATCTGCCATGGGGCCCCCCCTGTACCGCCTCCTCATGCTGCTGCCAGGTCCAGAGTCTGTCATGGGTCCCTGTACGGCCTCCCATGCTGCTGTCTCCATCGCCCACACTCTGCCATGTGCCACTTTCAGGTCTCCTCACACTGCTGGTGGGTTCCATTTTTGTCATAGGGTGCTGGCAGATTACGGGCCTCCCATTGCTGCTGCCAGGCCCGTAATCTGCCATGGGCCCCCGTACCGACTCCTCATGCTGTGACAGTTGCAACAAGGTGGAATTCAACCCTACATATGTTTAGACCGCCTTTACGAACAGCGAAAGGCCATCACCGATTTCTGATGTTACAAGCGGATAAAGTAACTCCCACTGTGTAACTTAGATGTCAGCCATTGGCAGCTCATGCGTGACACCTGCCGCTTGCTCAGGCCCTTTGAGGAGGCCACGCTATTCGTGAGTCGGCAGGACTATGGGATGAACACGACGTCATTCCTCTGTTGCACGTCCTGGAACAAATGCTGTTAACAATGGCATGGCTGTCAGGATGCGGTAGACACTGGCGCACAGATCTCAACGCCACATGACCCCTGTGGGGGCAGGACAGGAAGAAGAGGGGAGGTAGAGGAGGACATTGGTGCTCAGGAATTATTGAGTGAAATGGGTGGTTTTTCCACTCAGCGGACAGGAGTGGAGGAGCAGGAGCATCTGGTAGAGAGGAGGAGAGGAGACAGAGGACCCAGACGCACCGTGGCAGTATGCTGTGGAGATGGAGGCAGGGAGTCCCTCGCATTCCTTGGCACAAATGGCCCATAGCATGCTCGGTTGCTTGCGTAGCGACAGCCGAATAATAACCATCAGACAGAGGGATGACTTTTGGCTGTCCACCTTGTTGGACCCTCGCTACCGTTCAAAAATGGTGGCCTTTTTCACACCTGCAGAGAGGGAGGCCCAAAATAACTGTACTATAAAAACCACCTATGTAGTCAGTTGGTCTCTGCCATTCTGCGCCAACGTCCATCCTCAGACACTGTGGGCCCTGTGCGCTCGCGTTCCGCTGCCATGGCAGCAGGGGAGGGGTGGGGTGGTAGGAGCAGTGGCAGCTCCACCAGCAGCGGCTGCCTCAGTCTGCAGTCGATGATGAGTAGCTTTCCTTCACCAGCGCAGTGAGGAAACTACTAACCATAGGCAGCCGCAGCAGCAGCAGCAGCATCATTGGTGGACCTGGAGCAGGACCTCAAACAACAGGCTTGGGCCTACTTGGACAGCACCCTGCCAACCGAGGTAGACAATCCCCTTGACTACTGGGCAACGAAACTTGACCTTTGGCCCCAACTAGCTGAATTTGCCCTTGAAAGGCTGTCATGCCCGGCCAGTAGCGTGGCCATCGGAGCGCGTGTTTAGTGCGGCAGGAGGTATTGTAACTCCGCGGAGGACACGACTGTCCACCCAAAGTGTGGAGAGACTCACGTTTGTGAAAATGAATCAGGCGTGGATTAGTCTGGATTTCAAACCACCAGTTCCTGACACAACTGACTAAATCCGCCATGAATCATGCCCCAAACATGTTATTCATTTTTCAACATCACACTGCTGGTCGGTTCCATGGCCTTGCTGGCAGATTAAGCTGCTTACTGCTGCCAGGCCGTAATCTGCCATGGGCCCCTGTACCGCCTCCTCTTGCTGCTGCCAGGTCCAGAGTGTCTCATGGGTCCCTGTACGGCCTCCCATTGCTGCTGTCTCCATCGCCACACTCTGCCATGTGCCACTTTCAGGTCTCCTCACACTGCTGGTGGGTTCCATTTTTTGTCATAGGGTGCTGGCAGATTACGGGCCTCCCATTGCTGCTGCCAGGCCCGTAATCTGCCAGGTGGGCCCTACCACCCACCATGCTGCTGCCAGGTCCCCCGTAATCTGTCATGGGCCCCTGTACCCGCCCATTCGCCTCCTCATGCTGCTGCCAGGTCCAGAGTGTCTCATGGGTCCCTGTACGGCCTCCCATTGCTGCTGTCTCCATCGCCACACTCTGCCATGTGCCACTTTCAGGTCTCCTCACACTGCTGGTGGGTTCCATTTTGTCATAGGGTGCTGGCAGATTACGGGCCTCCCATTGCTGCTGCCAGGCCCGTAATCTGCCATGGGCCCCCGTACCGCCTCCTCATGCTGCTGCCAGGTCCAGAGTGTGTCATGGGTCCCTGTACGGCCTCCCATTGCTGCTGTCTCCATCGCCACACTCTGCCATGTGCCACTTTCAGGTCTCCTCACACTGCTGGTGGGTTCCATTTTGTCATAGGGTGCTGGCAGATTACGGGCCTCCCATTGCTGCTGCCAGGCCCGTAATCTGCCATGGGCCCCCGTACCGCCTCCTCATGCTGCTGCCAGGTCCAGAGTGTCTCATGGGTCCCCTGTACGGCCTCCCATTGCTGCTGTCTCCATCGCCACACTCTGCCATGTGCCACTTTCAGGTCTCCTCACACTGCTGGTGGGTTCCATTTTGTCATAGGGGTGCTGGCAGATTACGGGCCTCCCATTGCTGCTGCCAGGCCCGTAATCTGCCATGGGCCCCCGTACCGCCTCCTCATGCTGCTGCCCAGGTCCAGAGTGTCTCATGGGTCCCTGTACGGCCTCCCATTGCTGCTGTCTCCATCGCCCACACTCTGCCATGTGCCACTTTCAGGTCTCCTCACACTGCTGGTGGGTTCCATTTTGTCATAGGGTGCTGGCAGATTACGGGCCTCCCATTGCTGCTGCCAGGCCCGTAATCTGCCATGGGCCCCCGTACCGCCTCCTCATGAGCTGCTGCCAGGTCCAGAGTGTGTCATGGGTCCCTGTACGGCCTCCCATTGCTGCTGTCTCCATCGCCACACTCTGCCATGTGCCACTTTCAGGTCTCCTCACACTGCTGGTGGGTTCCATTTTGTCATAGGGTGCTGGCAGATTACGGGCCTCCCATTGCTGCTGCCAGGCCCGTAATCTGCCATGGGCCCCCGTACCGCCACCTCAGCCTGCTCATGCTGCTGCCAGGTCCAGAGTGTCTCATGGGTCCCTGTACGGCCTCCCATTGCTGCTGTCTCCATCGCCACACTCTGCCATGTGCCACTTTCAGGTCTCCTCACACTGCTGGTGGGTTCCATTTTGTCATAGGGTGCTGGCAGATTACGGGCCTCCCATTGCTGCTGCCAGGCCCGTAATCTGCCATGGGCCCCCGTACCGCCTCCTCATGCTGCTGCCAGGTCCAGAGTGTCTCATGGGTCCCTGTACGGCCTCCCATTGCTGCTGTCTCCATCGCCACACTCTGCCATGTGCCACTTTCAGGTCTCCTCACACTGCTGGTGGGTTCCATTTTGTCATAGGGTGCTGGCAGATTACGGGCCTCCCATTGCTGCTGCCAGGCCCGTAATCTGCCATGGGGCCCCCGTACCAACTCCTCATGCTGCTGCCAGGCCCGTAATCTGTCATGGGCCCCTGTACCGCCTCCTCATGCTGCTGCCAGGTCCAGAGTGTCTCATGGGTCCCTGTACGGCCTTCCCATTCTGCTGCTGTCTCCATCGCCACACACTCTGCCATGTGCCACTTTCAGGTCTCCTCACACTGCTGGTGGGTTCCATTTTGTCATAGGGTGCTGGCAGATTACGGGCCTCCCATTGCTGCTGCCAGGCCCGTAATCTGCCATGGGCCCCCGTACCGACTCCTCATGCTGCTGCCAGGCCCGTAATCTGCCATGGGCCCCTGTACCGCCTCCTCATGCTGCTGCTGCCAGGTCCAGAGTGTCTCATGGGTCCCTGTACGGCCTCCCATTGCTGCTGTCTCCATCGCCACACTCTGCCATGTGCCACTTTCAGGTCTCCTCACACTGCTGGTGTGTTCCATTTTGTCATAGGGTGCTGGCAGATTACGGGCCTCCCATTGCTGCTGCCAGGCCCGTAATCTTCCATGGGCCCCCGTACCGCCTCCTCATGCTGCTGCCAGGTCCAGAGTCTCTCATGGGTCCCTGTATGGCCTCCCATTGCTGCTGTCTCCATCGCCACACTCTGCCATGTGCCACTTTCAGGTCTCCTCACACTGCTGGTGTGTTCCATTTTGTCATAGGGTGCTGGCAGATTACGGCCTCCCATTGCTGCTGCCAGGCCCGTAATCTGCCATGGGCCCCCGTACCGACTCCTCATGCTGCTGCCAGGCCCGTAATCTGTCATGGGCCCCTGTACCGCCTCCTCATGCTGCTGCCAGGTCCAGAGTGTCTCATGGGTCCCTGTACGGCCTCCCATTGCTGCTGTCTCCATCGCCACACTCTGCCATGTGCCACTTTCAGGTCTCCTCACACTGCTGGTGGGTTCCATTTTGTCATAGGGTGCTGTATGGCCTCCCATTGCTGCTGCCTCCACCGCCACACTGTGGCTCCACACTCTGGTTTTGGCCCCGTGACTGCCCAAATGAGTGAAGTGTGCGGTGATTCTAAGATCGACGGCACTCATCTGCATGTCATACTGACTGTCAGTATTATTTCTCTTCCCCAGCAGACTCCAAGGGCATTTAAATTAAAGGTACAGTGTTCTGCACTAATATAAAGGCTCTCTGAAGCCTAGAAACACCCTTTTTATAAGTTAAATTCGCAGCGAATATATTAGATTCGAATTGAATTTATTCCGCGAATTTGCCGAATCAGCCGAATCGAATTTTTGAATACTTCGCTCATCTCTAGTGTAGAGCATGAATCTGGGACAAATATACCTCCCATTCTGGACACATCCTCTAGTTCTTCCTGGCTTCCTGTCACAATACACACACATGCATACACACATGTATATACACACACATGTATATACACACACACATACAAACACATTTATACAGCCCTATGAAAAGTTACAGTACCTTATCTTCCCTCACACAGCCAGGTACTGCACTCTAGGGGGAGGCATAGAGCACAGAAGACACTCCCCTTCCCTTTGCTTTCACTTTGCTCAGCGGTCTGATGACTCCCAGTGCCAATATACAGTGTGGCTGAGGATCGGGGGCTCTGGCTCAACTGACAGCCTTTCTCTGCCAGGACACCATGGCACCCCTGAAGACCTCTGGCGGCACCCTGGGGTGTCATGGCTCCCTGGTTGAGAAAGGATGTCCTAAGTCATATAGAGAACTTGCAAATATCTTCAAATATGCCTGCAATCATTTAGTTATCACTGTATTTTCTCCATAAATAGGGGAAGGGTTCATTATACTGCATATTGCACTGTACATTTGCACTCTCTCCTCATTGGCTCACTGGCTGTAATTTACAGTAGCGGGAGCCAATGGCCTCCTCTGCTGTCTTAGCAGATGAAAAGAGAGAGATCTGGGAGAGCCAAGGCTCCTGTGCACATCACTGGATCAACATGGGGCTCAGGTAAGTTTTAGGGGGCTGGGGGTGCTGCCACACACAGAAGGTTTTTTACCTTCATGCATAGAATGTATGAAGGTAAAAACATTGACCCTTTACAACCACTTTAAGTCATTCAATTATTTGATTGTTTTGACCTCCTACTATTCAGTCTGGCTACCTTTGCCATTCACAACAAAGCTATAAATAATCCACCTGCAAAACTGAAAATAGTAGAAATAAAGAATTCTTATATATAGTTTAGCCACAGACAAAAAATTAACAAAATATAAAATAAAATGTACATTCCCTACATTCATGTTTGCTTTCCCACTAGCTGGTCAAAGAGTATGGTTTGTCCAACACTGGAGAAGACCCAGCTGCAAAGCTGCATTACATCTTACATTTGCATAGATGCAGCTAAAAGATCAGAAAATGAAGTAAGAAGCTGGTCTCACGTCATGCACCGTAGGTAAAATTTAAAAAAAAAAATGTTCTGTTACTTCTCAAGGCTGCTATTTTCTGCAACCATTTCCTGTATACATGTACACTCCAGAAATGGCTACATTGACTCCTTACGGTGGGATTCCTGATGATGACAACAGTGGATCATGACCACTTGTATCCATGAGATATCCCCATGACAGCATGAGTACATAGTAGTACAACTAGGAGATAGGGATAGTGAGATGGAGTTGTCACCCTATAACAGAAAGTGTCTGAACAAGGACCTTAATGGCAGGATCACTAAGTATTATTTTACTTGAGCTGCAGATTTAATAATCATAAGAATTACTTTTAAAAATACAATAACATGTTACATCCTGTGTGAGATTTTAGGGATTATGTTAATAATTACTTTGAATGATCATAGAAAACTTCTGAAACCGTGAAATCCTCTGTGTTTAATATTAATCACTGAGGACTGCAGTTTTGGTCGTAGTTTTTGTTTTGTTACTGAGCACTTTGCTACTGTAATATCACAAGCAAAGCATGATACTGATGCATTGTGAGGCAATATAACTCATTGCAGTAGTTTTGCCAGGGAACTGCATTTAGTCATTGTCTGGTCTGTGTTGATTGGATTACAAATTAAACAATAATCGTAATCCAAACACACACAAAATAAAAAAAAATAAATGAACAATTGAATTTGGTAGCTATTTCATGTAATGGGTTAATTCCCACTTAGTCATCAATAAACAAGGTAATGTTAATTAACATTTTACAAAACACTTGGATAAAACATCTTATTAAACTGCCTGAAGATTTTCAGTTTTACAGTTCAAAGGATCTAAATTTAAAGTGTGGTAAACATTTTCACATCCTAGGTAACATGCAAAAGAGATACATTACTTTGAGTGATAATAAAGTTTCTTTTGAAATTAGGAACGTTTAAAGACATTTCTCTGTGGGCTATAAAAACACATTTGCTTTTAAACAGGCTGCATAACTGTAATGGGATGTTAGGAGGGAGGAGCTTTGATCGTCTTCTCTGCAAACTACAAATAGAGTAAAAACTCACCAAGCCACAAAAGAAATAAATTGTGCAAATACAAATCAGTCCATGTTCAGAAAATGTTTCGCAGTACCAGGAATGAGAATTCTGGAGAATATCTTTTTATCAAGATAAATGGGTCTGCCTGTAAAGGGTCTTTACTTAGTGACTTGTCCTTATGATGACTAGTGATGGGAAAATCTACCCAGGTTTGGATCACCAAGGGTTCGTTAAGTCTGACTCAGAATTTGGGGAACTCAACATT